AAAATAAATATACTCAAATAAGTAAATATAAGTGATCTAAATTATTATGTGCATTCCAACGGCAGTAAGATTGGCAGGTTTTACAGGAAAAGTTTTTCCCGTACCCCACGTCACATATGGCTTATTAAAGATGAAAACAGCTTTTCCTGTAAAACCTCCTAACCTTACTACCGCTGGAACGCACTTTTGTGGGAACGCACTTCGAAACATTTTACAGCTAAAAATGCCGGCGTGGAATGCTGGCGTTGATGTAGAAGATTGGAGGCAGCAGTGCCAGCAGCATCGTCAACAACAACAACTGCACCAATAACAACAGCAACACCAGCTCCACCAACAATCCAGCGGGCACCACAGCAGCTCTACGGCACGGCGGCTGTCACGAGATTCAGCTTGTATTTCCCGGTGGCCACATGACCTGTCTCGAGCATGAAACTACCTCCCACATTGCGCACTTCATAATACTTACAGCTTGCATTTACCACTTTCCCAATAGCCTCCCAAATTTGGTCCTTCTTCTGCACTTTTCGGTAGTCTTTCCGAGATAAGTCGTAGATACACCTATATTTTCGCACTTCCTCTATCAACAACTCGTTGAAGCTCATTGTTCCAACTGAATAAAACTGAACTTCTTTTTAAATTAAATCTATTGCTGAAATTTAATAAATATTGCTTGCTTGTTGTTTGCCTGCTTTTGTTTGTAAACAACCAAATTGACATGAAATGGTCAGAAAAGCAACCCTGAGTCTTCGACCCGACGGGAAAAATAGAAATGAATCTAAATAATTTCCCGCCGTAAAAATAACCGACGGCAAGAAATCCGTCCCCGCCGCAATTCTGTGCAATTTCATGCCATTCAATGTGTTCTAATTTTGACAGCGGGTACCCGTCGGCCCGTTACCCGCTATCCGCTGCAATTCTGTTTACGGCAATAAGTTCACATTTTGTAAAAAGTCACACCTGATCCCTCGAAACCTTCCACATACCACAGGGGAACCATTGGAAAATGGTCTTAAACTAGCATTTTGACACCGGAAATGTAAACTCGATAAACAGTATTTTTGTGCAGAACACCATTCTATTGTCAAAGGTATTCCACATTTCTTGTGCATATAACTCCGGCTACGCCATCCACAGTACATTTCCGTAGTACATTTCACTCCGAAATTCACAAAAAAGTGCATTTTTCAGACCAAATTTATTAATAAATTAGTGACCGCAAATTACAAAATTAGGTTTTAGAATAAAGTGTAGACCCTTGACTACAAGTGTGTGTAAAATTTTTTTGATCGGGTCACCCATTCGGACACAACAGCCCGAAATCATTGGGCAAATAACTAAACCGCACCCAGTTAAATCGTTATTTGGTTTTCCTCAATCAACAATTGCACCAAGATGACGTCACACACACAGCTGATGCTGTCAAATTCACAAAGAGCGGATTAGCGGTACCGCGATTTAGGGATGCAAGTCAAAAAAATACATCGATGTTTTCTTCGATTTGATGCATCGAAATATAGCATCGATACATATCGATGTATCGTATAAAAACATCGATATTTTTGATGCATCGAATGAATATAGCAACATTTTCTTTCAATTAAAAGTATACAACAAGAAAATGAAACAATCGTAACTTCGATCAGTGTTTAAGCAATAACTCACAGTGAAATGTTACAAATCCCAGTTTTTTCTTCGAAAGGCTTCGAAATTTTCGGAAGGTATGGAAGTGGCGACAATTGTTAAATATTTATAAGCATAATAATATTAAGGGCCGGTTACTCAATGTCCGGTTAACACTAATCTGCGGTTAAACATCGTTATCGATGTCTTCGACTCCATGCATACAACAGGGAGTCGATAACGTCGATAACTATGGTTAACCGGAGATTAGTGTTAACCAGACATTGAGTAACCGGTCCTAAGTGTGCCAGCTAGCAATGACATTATATTTCGGTCACTTATTTGGCAATTTATTTTCATAATTTTTTCCTTCATTTGACTTTCATGTTAACCCTTTTGAGAGAGAAATTATGAAGTTTTTTGATTTGAGCAAAAAAAAACAAGCGTCAATAAATTCTTGTCGCTTGTGCAAAAGTACACACAACGTTGCATTACTGATGTTTACAGTCCATCCATGACGAGGAGATATACCGAAATCAGGCAGAGGTATGCAACAAAACCAAGGAATAATGCCAGAAACTCAAATTTTGCTTTGAAATAAGCGTACATCAAACTGGCTTGCACACTTTATATTATTTCTCTATGTTGATAAGCTATGTTAAACAATTTTGGAATATGCTGTTTAAAGTCTGTCATCATCATATTGTAGATGGTATTTGGCACCAAATGTTTCTACTAATAAAGTAGCAATTTATTAATGCAATAACTTTTTGGATAATATTAATAGAATGTATATTCTAATAGTGCATAAATAGTGAAAAATCCAGATTTAGAATAGTTACTGGAGCGAAGAGTTTGAAAGCATACAAAATAATTTTAGTATGTACAGTGCAGGCGAATCTATACAAGGTGGTTTATCGGATCCGATGATTTCACGATGACTTTGTACCTTTTGTTTAAATGATGTGTTTGCTGCAATTTTGTTTTGTACTGATTGTCAATGTGCGTATAATTTGTTATTGTAATTTTTGTTTCTGAGCTGCTAATGCCCGTATGATACTACGTTTTTTCCCTATATTTTTCATTTGAAATACAAACAAAAAAACTGACGAAAGTCAGATTACAAAAACAATTCGGCAATGTGTTGACAGAAACAAATTCTGTGTGAAAAACAGCTGAGTTTTGACATAACTTTACCGAAATTCAAACAAACGAAATTTAAATTTGCGTAAAACAGTTTTGTTACATTAAAAAATTTATTTATATTTTTGATTTATTTATTAAAGCTTATAAAATGTTATTAACATATGTACAACCTAATCATGCAGCGCTAGCATCAGAGGCTATCAGCTGTCCGTTGAATAAATGTTTTGTTTTAAATTCTTCTCAGTAGGTCACATTCTTTTAAAAATTGGTATATGGTTCTTATATTTTCCTCAGTTGTATTCGAAAGAAGAGAAACTGGATCTGTATTAAAATTGCATTGCCTCTTATCTTGCAGTGTTGGGCAAAATTCCAGTAGATGAAAAACAGTTGTTGTTGAGTCGCAAAATGGACAGATGTTGGTTCTATTTCTTCCAAGGAGGTGAGCATGCGTCACTATAGTGTGTCCAATCCGAAGACGTATGTAGGGTGTGAGTAAATTTGTAGGTATTGTTGATGGGTAATCTGGTTTGATCCTGGCTGTGTTCACTATTGAATATTGATGATTATAAGAAATCCAATCAAGGGCCAATTTAGAGTGTCTCTTTTGGTTGATGAGTCGATATATATCAGATTT